TTCCTGTCCTCCAACTAGCCAGTCGAGGCAGATGGCCGCCTGTCCTGAGCCTGGTTCTGCTGCAGGTTTCTTCCTGATTAGCAGGGAGTTTTTCCTCTCCATCGTTTGATCAGGATGGGAGACTGTGATGAAGTGATTCAACGCAGCCTGCTGGTTTCTTCTTTAGATTGTTCTTTTCATGTACAGTGCCCTGAGAGAGCGTTATGTTGTGACTTGGCGCTATATAAATAAACTGAATTGAATTGAATTGAATACACACACACACAAGTATATGTATATGCCGACTCCCTCCACACAATCATGGTGTCTCCTGACTTTTCTTTTAAGCATGCTAACTGGTTACAGCTCCAAGTGCTAATATTTGAACATTGCAGCAGCAAAGTAGGGGCTTTGTCACATGGAGTGGGCGGGGTTAAATACTTGAAACCAGCTGACAGGAAAGCTAGTCCTCCTCCAGCTTTAACTTTAAAGTTCAAGTTCAAGTTCTATTATGTTAAAAGTTATTAGTTTCTACCAAGAAGCTTCATCTCAGGTGTTTGATTTCCGGAGACTCAAAGAATAATTTAAGTCCTTGATGTTTTTTCTGACCACTCAATGAAAAGGTTTTCATCTTGAAATGTTCTTTTTTTATGGTTTTAAAAACACTTCCTATCTTTCTGTCCTCTCTGAGGGCCGTTGGATTTGCTGGACGTCCGTCGCGGTCCCAGCAGTTGATGACAGAGTGGGCTACAGAAGAGACCATCTGGACTGGGTCACACTGGACTCTCCTGCAGAACAACAACAAGTAGGGATGGGAAGAACGACGAAAGCAGCTCTGGGAACATTTCCCTCCACAGTAGCACTCTTGCTTCCCACACGCACTCCCACCCCCTTCTTCCTTCCGCTGTTTGGCTCCGGCTCTTTTTTTTCCACACCTCTTGAGATAGTTCAGCTTAAATGAGTTGATAAATCCCGTTTTGTGTCGCCCTGTTTATCCACGCTTTGTGTGTGCAGTACTAACTTTGCTTCATTCAACAGGAGAGCGGTGTATCTGCAGCGAGGGAACATTTAGGAAAGGGGGCTTTTGTTGCCGATTTGAAAGAGCAGCATACCGAAAGGGGAGCAAAACAACAGTCTGTGCACATTCAACCAACACACAGCATCCTACCAGATATACAAGCTGCAGCTCTCATCTCACACACACGAAGAGATCAGCTTAGCTCACAAAACTCCACCTCTAACTCAACAAAACCTACAATTCACCTTTTTAATCACACATTTCCATAACATTGGAACAGTTGCTGGTACAATAAAGTACACTTCTCTTTCCTCCCTGGCATTGTAGAAGTGTCTGTGCACGCTGAATAGTGTGTTATGTTTTGTTTCTGACACTCTTGACCTGCATTTTTTGGACCAGCATCCCTTCTGCCCCTCTTCAGAGCTCTGAGAAAGTCCCCCTGCTGTGAAAAGAGATCCCCAGCGAACACCTCTCTGTGTCCCCCCTCCCCCCCTTACTGTGTACAATAATGAACTTTCATCTGCCAGTGGGTCATACTCTTTCATACTCTAATTATCGCTGTCATGAGAGCAGCTCTGTGGAGTGGAGAACTGYATAAAGGCTGGTGGACCTTTCTGTGCCTTGGTGATCTTTAAAAATGAACATAGTTAAGTTGTCATAAAAAAATCAGAAAAAAGGTCCATCTCCCTCACTTTCTTAATCCAGCCAAGCATTGATCCATCTTTGAACAAAGTAGACGTCTATTATATTGGAGATTACTTTCAAAGCTTTTTTTTCTGGCCTTGTGCTGGTGGATCAGCGGGGTTGTGAAGGGCGGTTCCTGATTGAGCACCCTGCAGCCGCAAGTCCGACCTGAATGCAGTCTCGACATCAGCCTCAATCAACCACAGCCTCTAATTCTCGCTTGCTGCCACCCTTCTGACCTCATTCTCTGCTCTTTTTATCCCCTTCACTCCCTCTTACCCATGTTCACCTCCTCACACTGGCCCCCCACTTTCTTCTTCTTTTTTTTCGTCCCACCGAAAACGGTTCCCTTCAGAACGTCAGATGAGTTTGTCCTTTTAAGACAGCATTCAGCAGTCAAACACTCACACGAAACTCGTGTCAAGAGGAAAAAGTAGCATTACAATGCTGTAACTGCCTCAACACTTAGATTTACAGTGGCATCAAAAATATCTATAAACATTTCCACTGCTGGATCAAAGATATTAGTGTTGTCTTTCAATATTTTATAACAATTTCAAATACGAACAAAATGAAATAAGGTTCAAAGTATTCCAACCCTTTGTAAGATATTTTAGTTGGTTAATTGTGAAATCATATACACTTATTTTATCAATTGTAATCAGTAAGAGAATCAACAATTTAAATCCCATGTCCATTTCTAGAACTTTCTTGTTTACTATGACATCAAATCCAGGGTGTGATCATGTTTTTTCTTATATTTTTTCTGCTTGGCCTGCAGAGGAGCAGGACGTGCTTTCGCTCTCTCCTGCCCCCACCTCCCTCCCGCCCTTCCCTGCTTTGCTGCTTTGCTTCTTCAAGCTTTTTTTTTTCCACCTACCATCCGAATCTAAAGGAATTATGGATTTGGTCAGTTGGTCTCTGTATGCAATTGACACTATTTTTTCCACACTTGGAATGAGGGGAATGTGGCTGTCTGGGTGGAATGGTTGCTGCTGGACTTGTCTGATTCCTGGGGCTGGAATCTGATATGCCAGCACCACTTTTCCATTGAAGACATGGAAGATCTTTATTTAATTGGAGTATGATAACTGGATTCCTGCTGATTGGTGGAGGAGGGTTCCAGATTTATCGAAAAGTGAAAGAGACCCTGACAGTGGTCCGGGCGTTTGAGGAGCTGTCGTGCACACTTGAAGGATTCTGCTGGGCTGGTAGCACACAGACTCTCAGCTGGGGGAAATAATTTGCAAACTGGATGTGATTTTGATGAGGATCGCAGCTCAGGAGTGAGCCTCCAGCATGTAAGGATTACATCTAGATGACGCTTCAGATGGTGAGAGGTGAGGAAGACCCCAAAATTTGGCTGATTTTTTTCGCCACTTCAGAGATGCAGTTAAGACATTTCAAAAGCAGCAGGAAATTCAAGGCTGCTTCCAAAACAATTGGATTATCTTTTTGGCTCCCAGCAGTACAGTCTTGATGGCAGTGTTTATCTCAATCTCCCCAGGATGGAATGTCAGCAAAGAGCTTGATTCGCTCCCAACCCCATCACCCATGTTGGACCCGGCCCCGGAACCCAATGGCTGAGGAGGAGGAAACTCTGAACTCCAGCGAACTGAGCAGAYACGATAACATCATGTGACTCTGGACTCTGGAGGGGGCCAGGGTTGGATCCTAGCCTGGACCGCCCCCCTCCCTCAACGTCACCTACTCCTCTGAACCCGCCCCATCCTACCTCCCCTTTATGTGTTCTGACCTAAGCCCCCCCCAAACTGACTTGCTCTGCCTTGCTATGCGAGTGGTCTTTTTGGCGCATGTTTCTGTGTTTCTGTGTAAAACACAGGACCAGAGTTCTTTTTTTAACTCACCTTTCCTATTGTGTGTATTCAAGCTGCAAAAAGTAGTGTGACCATGTTGCAAAAGACCTTGGACATTCGTTCCCCCATGTTTATTATTGTGTGTTTCTCTGGACAGACGTTCTAAACTGCAATTTTGMTCTGCATTGCATCTTTGATGTTGTGTGTGAATGACAATAAATGCCTCTGATTCTGATGTTTTCTAAAGACCTTGCAAGAACACATGATTCTGAGACATTTTTGGGGTCTCCAAAGRGAGGGGAGTTTGGGGAAATGTGTCAGATCTGAGTTACTGTATATGTGCTAAACTACACATGTGATGTCCGAGAATT